CAGGCAGTAGGTCTTGCTTGGCATGAGAGTGGAAACAGTATAATAGGGTATTTTACTAACATGCTTACATCACGGTTATGTTGAGCCTAGTGGTCAGAGCACAGCATCTTAAAGAGATTAGACAAAAATGGTACCCATCATCCCTGCCCATCATCAGCATCATCACCATCCGATATCTGCCCCAGTAGAGGTCTAAACTGACTTCATGATGAAGCCTTAGACTGAGATTGTGTTCTGCATTTAAATAATAAATTAAGAAGCTCAAGTCTTAAGAACACTCCCTTTGGGATACAAAGTCACCTGATCCACAACTATTAAAAAGTGTCTTTTGTACGAAAATCACTGAAAAAAAAGTAATACGATGCCTTGAGAATATTCTACATATAAAGACAGAAGAGAATATTTACTGACAAGTCTTGATCATGGCATGGAGAGAAAGGACTTGAAAGCAGAAATAATGAAAGCAAGAGGAAAAGAGAGCATTTAAGATGGAAAAGACAGAAAAACATCACAGAAAGAGGAGGGGGGTGTGGTGAAAACCAAACCGCCACCGTTTTGCCTTCACTGTTGTGTGGCTCCATCGTGAATGTACTAACATCACATTTCTATGGGTCATGAAAATTGAAGTTGTCGTTGGTAACTTTTCAAGGACTCAGGAGAAAGAGAGCTGGAATCATTCAAGACAGATGCCTTCCCTCCTGTTTTCCTTTAAAAAACACACCCTGTTTTTTGGTGGGGTGGTAATTAGGTTTATTTATTTATTCTTAATGGAGGTACTGGGGATTAAACCCAGGACCTCATAAATGCTAGGCATGCACTCTACCACTGACCTATATACCCTCCCCTCCTAAAAACACACCCTCTTATTGAAAGTTTTAAAAGCAACGTTGGGTAAGTTGACTTTAAAGTGGCCAGAACCACACATTCCCTCCCAGCGTAAGGTCATGCAGCCGAACTCTAAATGAGAAATCATTTCTGGATCTACTTTTCTCTAACACCCCAACTCAATCAACCATCTTAAAGATTCCACACTGTGTACATAAATTAGAGACTTTTGTGGAAACAACCCTTTAAATTTAAGGAAACCAAGTAAAGGGGAAAAAAAGTTAAAAAAAAAAAAGAGCCGCACATTTAAGCAGTAATCCATTGAAAAGGCGGTGAATCGGCATCTCTGTCTACAATTTACAGAACTCAAGGTTTATGTTTTTGGATCTTATGACAAACTCCCTACTTGTAGCCACATTATCACAGTTTTATTAGAGGCAAATGCCTTTGAATCTGAATGCTTTCAGGCATTTGTTTGAAGCAACTCACTCAGGAGTAGAATTAAAGAAATGTGCATAATCTTCTCCAACCAAGAACAACCTTCCCGCTCTCTAGGGCATGGGGAGGTGGCTCTGAATAAGAGGTTCATTTATTTCCCTGCACTTGTGATTTTCTTCCTAAATGGTGTGACTAGCGCTTCAGTATCTGGTTCAATATCAGAACTTCTCTTTTCCAAATTACTTAGCTTGCACTTCGCTTACAGGTGGCTCAAGCAGGCTTTCTCTCATGTTTATGGCATTGCCTTCTACATAGCACTGGGAGAGAAAAGAGACGTAATTATTTAGCTAGTCGGGTGCGAAAGGAGGAAAAGTACCTTCTCGTTGTTTTAAAGCAATTAAAATACTTTGCGAGGCAATCCTAGGACAGACATTTCTTTTTGATGTTCCTATAGCATGCACATTTTCTTGGTTGCTGGTAAGTGAATCATAATCTGTAGTATCTCACATACTGTATTTTGGTGTGTAAGCCATGTGGACAAACACATTTCTTACTGTGCTATTGAACACACACAAACACCTGTTGACTTTAACTGTTCATTGTTCTGCATTAATTAAACAGTTAAGATTACCTGATATTGACCATCAATTTCAGGTTCACATGAAGATTAAATGGGGCAAGAATCCAACCCGTTAATAACTGACAGGTCTCCCAATTTCCCCTTGGAAAATGTGGAAGAACATTAGGCAAACAGAGGAAGAGGTCTCTCCCCATGACTGTCAACCACCATATGCAATGTATTCATTTCTTGCTGTTCATTTCATATTATGATGTGGACCCAGGCCAAGTGACTCTGTATTATCCTTTGGTTATTAGAAGAGTCTGATTAATTGGAGTTAATTCCTTGGCTCTAAGAAGTTTGTCAGTATCTACTAAATCTGTATTTTTCCTATAGATATTTTTATTACCCAGGGGAAGTTGAGTTCCACGGAGAAGAGCATCTGTTGGTTGGCTGGGCTTTTTGAGGATGGGGTGGGTGTGTTCCAGGGGACCAGGCTGCCCCTTCGGATCTGGCAGGCCGGCAGTGGCCCCAGCCCTCCGCACCCTCGGCAATGCATGCAGTGGCTTGGTGCTCGCAGTCGGTTGACTGGCAAGGCTCGGAGCATCGCTGCATACGGTCAACTCCCTGCTTTAGAGCACCTCCCACAGTTTTGGCCCATTAACCCGACCACAACAGCTTGATGAATTAATGCTTATCTAGGCACAGTTGGCAGCTTCTAATTAAATAATTATGGATAAGCAGCTGCACAGAGGCTGTTATGCACCCTAGAAAGCCAGCTGTGTGTTTTTTCAGTCCTCAGACAGAGGAAGAGTTAACACATAGCTCTGGATGTTGGGTGCAAAGGCCAAGTGTATCATACGCAATATATGTGCCGTGCAACACCAAGTTGCTGGATGTTTGTGCTAGCCTGTCCACGGAGTGATGGAGAGCTAGCTGTTCCTTGGCTGCTCTCAGCCAACCAACACAGAAGGAAGCAATCGTATGATCAGGAGGACAGAGTGTTATATGGATGAGACTTTGATGAACACAGAAATGTCACTGAGCTAGCAGGCAGATTCTCTCAGGTCTGGATCTCACTGAGATAAGCAAGTGGTTAGAAATCTAGTGTGATCTTTTTGAGGGGGTATGGGTATGGCTGGTATGTTTGATTTGACTGAAGCTTCTTAAGATGCTGTTTTCAAATATTAGAAATTGGAGAACAAGGTAAATATCACAAACCTAGATTTAAACTCTAAAATACATTTTTTTTCCTCAAAAAGTCAGAAGATATTTGTCCTGCAGAATCACAGATAAGGTCAGATTCCTTTCTAGAAAGCTAAAAACCTAGTCTTATCTCTAAACCAGGGAAAAACTGACCAGAAGGAAGAGAGCAGAATTTGGCGACTAAGCTCCAAGATACAGGAAGGTAGAGATCATCGATAAAGACCATCGATGGGGATGTTGGACCGAATAACAGAGCTTGTTACAACACATCGGCATGCTGCTGAACTGACAGCTGATTTGATTTTCCTCCACAGGCTGTTCTTTCTACACCATCCATGTGTCTCCACTTCTCAAAACCGACTGTGTGAGAAGCCAGGACAGAACAACTTGGCTGCCCACTGGCCTTGTCACCAAGGTTCCCAGCACCATCTCCAAATGAATAGACACAACTGGAGGCGAAAATCAGCCCAAGAAAGTCAGTCATATCTTTATATTTGAAGACAATTAGGTACTTTTAATCCTCAAAATTTATGGGTTTCCCTTAAAATAAGAAGAGAGGAAAACTGGAAGCATGTTTCATATGGAATTCACTTTCCCCCAACTCCCAGACCTGCTGAAAAGCAGCAGATAATCCAGCACGAAACTTTGCAGACTGAGTTACTGTTCCCCTTTCAAAGATCAATGGCTAATAGTTTATTTAGAATAATGCCATTTCTTTAAAACAAGGCATCCGGTACAGTAAACCGTCATTTAAATAAGTGGGAACTCTTCCTTCAAAAGCTTCAGTACAATTGTTTCCTTTTTTCCCCCTCTTCTGGTTCCCTTTGATGTCAGTGATTCCATCACCTCAGCTCTCTGAAGATGACTGCCTGTGACTGACAATTCTCAAGGATCTCATTCGTTTTAGATGAATCCTAAATGAAGGTCAGCTTAATTAAGTCTGCTGTGCACCTCAAGTCTCAGAACACAATGCTAAGGAATCGAATCACAGCTCTGTGAAGCCTATGAAAACACATTTCCGAGGTGGGGGTGGGGGTGGCAGGGAAAGGGGGGTCTTTCATCAGTCTACACTGCCATCTAGCCAAGATCACGTCATTCCGTGCAACCCTCATTTCTGCGTTCAACGCCCCTGATGACAGCCAGTCTTCAGCAACCAGCTTACTACACCCTGAAGTTCAGATGAAAGACTAAACAGCAGCATTTGATCCACCAAGCCAAGCAGCCTCCCGTGGACCAACAGTCACGTTCTCATCATCACCTTATCTCCACAATTCAAGTGTCTGGCAAACAGACATGCATGTCTGTATTCATTCCACACACCACCTACGCCAACATCATGTGCATCTTGTGCCTTTACATATTCTGTGACTTTACTGGAAAAACAAAAGTTGCTTTAGGTAAAATGTGAGAGCTGATTATAACCGAATCCTCTAGCTATATGTCAAGGGTTAAAAACACCCCAAAATAGTACTCTTTCGACGTTGACTGAACATGCAGACCATATACATCTGTTAAGAGAATCCACACGTAGGTAAAATAAAAAGAACCCTTTGCACTTACGGTAGAAGACGTACTCGGTGTAACTTGACCAGACCTTGTCATCTGTATATTGGTTGACGAAAGATGCTGTCACTGAGGAGTTACAGGCCACCATGTGGAATCCACACTCTGACAACATATCAAAAGCCCTTTCCAGATGCTTGAATTTGAGATAAAATCTGGAGGTGTATCTTTCTGGGGCTCGGTCAGGGTCTCTGCTCTCATTCAAAGTTTCTCCAAAGACCTCTTTTGCCAAGGAAATCCTTCCACAAACCAAAATCCGAGGAACTCTCCGAAACTTGGCGTCTGCCTGCCCCTCTCTGCCCATGGTGCAGGAACCCCTGTACCCCACGGTAATGAAACCCCACTTGCGGTCGGCAGGGAGCAGCGAGGAAGGGGGGCAGATTCTCGTGTCGCTTCCTTGGGAGGCGTCTTCAAAGTCACTATGGCAGAATTCATCTGGGCTTTGCTTGATTTCATCGGGGGTCAGGAGTTTGACCAAGTCTGGGAGCTGGAAGTACTCAGCTTCCCTTTTCAGTCTTCCCCTCTCTGGAAAGTGATCAGGCAGGACCACCTGCCTGTCCCTGAGATAGTCCAGAATGTAACGGAACAAGAATCCATCTCTGTCAATGAAAAACCTTCCCTTGGAGTCCTTGGCTAGATCGTTAGCTGTGTCTCTCTTTGGGGAAAACATTTTCCACAGGAGGGAATGAGGGATGCTTACTAACGTGGAATGGCGAGTGAAATAAACTTGACCCCCCACATTCAGCTCCACGACCTCAGGGAAGGAGTTGGGAACGGCAGCCCCTTGTTCTCGAGGGTAATAGCGACTACAGTTTCCACTCAGAGCCATGGTCCTTGCTTCTTCTTCTTCTTCTTCTATTTGGATGTGAAGGTGCAAGCCAGTGGAGTCACAGCCTGAGCCTTTGCATCAACTTGTAAGGGAGGGCGAGGACACTAACTTGTTAAAAACGACCTCCTCTTGCCCCAGGTTTTCCCCCAAGAAAGCAGAATTGCCAAGAGTCCATAGGTGAAGGGATGCTGCATAAGTAGTTTAAACCCCGGCAGGTGGTGAGCTATTACTTCATGGAAGATAATCAACTCAGCTCCATCTGATCTTCCCCAAGCTCAGCGGGCTAGGCAGGCCAGGTCCCCAGCTACTGAGAGGTCTGTCTGAAGGAAAAGAGAGAAAATTATTTCCTCAATCCCAGCATGAGTCAGAAAAAGAGAGACCGCTGGAGAGAGGAGAGGGAGGGAGAGAGAGGGAGGGAGGCAGGATGGAGGGAGGGAGGGAGAGATTATTTTACATAAGCAGCCCCGGAATGACTGATTTCAGCCATTCTTCAACTAAATTGTAGCTGCTCTCAAGCTATTCTGTGTCTACAAATTTATCCATATCCCTCAGTCTTCCAGCATTTAGTGTGAAAACCATTTCTATTTTTATTTCTGCATTAAAAAGGAATATGCAATTTGCAACTGCTAAAAGGGATTTTTTTTTTCCCCAGCTGGACAGGAAAAGCAATAAGCCTCAGAACTTACCTTAATGAATGCTGGACACACAGCTCTTGTGGAGAGATACCCATTTGCAAAGCAGTCGGAATCCACAGTCACACACACAGTCTCGGAGCTTGTCAGATCCCAAAGAGGTAAAGGACAGAGGTATCAGTGAAAAGTGCCAGAGAGATGTGCTCTTAAAAATAATTTTTTACATATATAAATATTTATATAAATGTATATTTGCGTCTACGTATGTATAGAGTCACTCTCTATCTCAAGTTAAAACAAGTCACAAAAAAGTTAAACCGTGATGAGAAGTGGTTGGATTGAAGCAGCAGAGCAGAGAAAAACACTCAACCAAAGCGTCTCCAGGAAAAAAAAAAATTAAACCTTTGGAAAGAATCCTTAACACAGAAGAGAGTTGTAAGAGGTACCGGGACTTAGAAGCTTTTCAGAAAGCCCAGCAGCAGAAAGAAAGACGGCGGTGCCCTGCTGGGGGCCCAGGCAGCCACCCCGCCTGCCGGCAAGGGCAGGCGGGCTCCCATGTTCCCAGCCGGGCGGGAGCCGCGGCCGCCGCAGCGCGGAGATGCCGGCGGGGGGCTCGGCTCCGGCTTCTCGGGCGGCGGAGCTGGGTGGTTCCACGGTTCCCGGCGCAGTTCGGATGCTGTTGTCTCAGCAGTGCAGGCAGGAGCCCTTCCAGGGAAGTGACTATTACATCATCTTAAAGGAATATGGCTTGGAGAAAGCGGAGGCGGCTCGGAGTCCCGTCCTCCTCGGTGGCAGGTCGCCGGGGCGGCACGGGCGACGCCGCGCGCCGGCCGTGGGCGCGCGACTCCCGGGCTCTCGGCGCTTGG